TTATATATCCTAGAAGCGCTCAGGCATAATTATATCATGCCAGGACTTCTACCTGGATGAACCAGAAAGGATATAGAACAACTGCCTAATTTTTTTTTTTTACGGCTACGGGTTGAAATGCTAAACGTGTTATATATCCTAGAAGCGCTCAAGCATAATAATAATATGCCAGGACTTCTACCTGGATGAGAAAGGATATAGAACAACTGCCTAATTTTTTTTTTTTTTACGGCTACGGGTTGAAATGCTAAACGTGTTATATATCCTAGAAGCGCTCAGGCATAATAATATGCCAGGACTTCTACCTGGATGAACCAGAAAGGATATAGAACAACTGCCTAATTTTTTTTTTTTTTTTACGGCTACGGGTTGAAATGCTAAACGTGTTGTATATCCTAGAAGCGCTCAGGCATAATTATATCATGCCAGGACTTCTACCTGGATGAACCAGAAAGGATATAGAACAACTGCCTAATTTTTTTTTTTTTTTTTTTTTTTTACGGCTACGGGTTGAAATGCTAAACGTGTTATATATCCTAGAAGCGCTCAGGCATAATTATAGCGTGCCAGGACTTCTACCTGGATGAACCAGAAAGGATATAGAACAACTGCCTAATTTTTTTTTACGGCTACGGGTCGAAATGCTAAACGTGTTATATATCCTAGAAGCGCTCAAGCATAATAATAATATGCCAGGACTTCTACCTGGATGAGAAAGGATATAGAACAACTGCCTAATTTTTTTTTACGGCTACGGGTCGAAATGCTAAACGTGTTATATATCCTAGAAGCGCTCAGGCATAATTATAGCGTGCCAGGACTTCTACCTGGATGAACCAGAAAGGATATAGAACAACTGCCTTTTTTTTCTACGCGTCGTTGTTCTAAACGTGTTATTCTTAGAAGCTCTCAGGCTTAATAATATGCCAGGTTTCCAGCGACTGATTTTAGCTGATTTTGCGGTGCGCAAGAATGGATAATTAACCCGACTTGTAAACAGATATTTCCTTCAGCCGATTGTGTCTCATGCAGGAGAATGTCATGTCAGCGTTGTTTTGTTTCTACTGAAGTTTTATCAAAGAAAGCTTAAGCGAAAATAAGGAGATCGCAATTTATACTCTTACGAACTATAAATTAGGGCTGACCTGGAAGACGCGTTGAATTGTGCCGCCATCCTTCAAAATATAGTCTGGCTGCGTTTAGGAAGACAATTTCCTCTTCCATCCAGATTTACTTGGTATATGTGTTTGCGAGAATCTTCAGACAAAGAATTGGGTATACACTGATTCGAATGGCTTGGCGATACTAAGTGCTTAAGTCTACTTACCGATTACAACATGTTTTGGAAGTATTGAGAAGCGCGCCAAATGAGGTTGTCACAGCGTTCTCGAGCAAACACGGAGCGACCTGGATTGATAAAATTACCATTACATGCAGCTATCATGCCAGTGATTTCTCCTTTCGTCGCATAGTGAATAGTTTGTGAGCACATCCTCGACTCTCGAAACATTTGTCTTGCGCCGCTACAGAAGTTGCGTCTCCCGCGAACCATAGGTAGATTTCCCGCTTAACATA